CCTCTTAGATACCTTTTCCCTTACATCAGCCTGTTACATATTCATAAACAACTTATGCATAGAAAACTTTTTCCCCAAGCTAATTTATATTCCCAGAATTGTTTAGCATGGCTCCTCCTTGGATCTGCCTTTTTAGAGCATTATTCCTTGGTTGTGATTTTAGCCATTTCTTATAATCATCTTCATTTCTGGACGTGGGTCCACACTGTCTTCAGACGGTGAGTGCTGATAGTTGGCATGTCTGTAGCAGGTGTCCTCATCCTGTGTTCATTGGATGTTATCCCATCCAAGCAGGCATTTTTTCACAAGCATCCTTATATCAGCAATTTCACAAAGCCTAATTAACAACAGACATAAAAACTATATCTTTGTAACAAAGTTACTTCAACATTACATATATAAATTCCATTTTATTATTTGTAAAATTCCAGTAATATAATATGTATTTACAATCCTTGGTGAGAGGGACAATGTGATCAATTGCTGCATTTCTGGACTGGCTCCCACTCACCTGCCTAAGCAGGGGGGTTTTTCCAGCCAGCCCTGCTCTGAAAACTATCAAAGGACCTCACAGAGCCACTGCTTGGGCTCTCTTTGGGGTTTGTGCTTCTTGCAGGGCTGAGCAAACCACAGGCAGGCCTTTTCCCCCACAGAATTCTCACCTCTGCAGCAGCTCTAAAGCTGCCAGAATCAAAGCCAAGGGGGCAGGGGGGACCCTCAGGTGCTGGCTGTCACCTGGGGCTGGGCAGAGCAGGGCTGGGCAATGGCCATCCCTGTGCAGTGGGGCTGGGCCATGGTTGGGTCCCACCCCTGGATGGCCACTGGCTTCAAGGAGCAGGAGTTTGGGAGCTCCTTCCTGCCCAGGGCTTCATTCCCCAGCAGCTCTTGTTGCCTCAGATCCTGCAGGGGACGAGCAAGAATGGAGAAGTCTGGAAACACCAGGAGCTGCCATGCCCCAGGACAGGACCCCGTTGTCCAGCATGTGTCCCCCCTGGGACAGGATCACCCCAGGACAGGAGCCCCTTGTATTTGCCCCCCCCACGGCAGAACCCTCCTCCAATGTGACACTCAGCACAAACGGCCTGTTCCATCTGCTGCCGGAGAGAGAAAGTGAAAGTGTAGGCAGGGGGAAAGCTGCACTCTTCCATCCCCCACAGCCTCCCCAGCCCTCCCTGCAGACCCCTCACCCCTACTTCCTCCACCCTGGGCTTCCCCCAACTCGTTCCCTTATTGAAGTGAAGGGGAGAACGACCATCCTGGTAATGCATCGAACTCCAACTTTATTGATCAATCAATCACCTTAAATAATAGTGCTAACGAACGCCATGAATATTCTGTAATCCAATGTCATGATAGGCTAACAGAGAAACTTCTAACCACTCCCCTTGTTTTAGAATACCTACAATTGTTTATTAAAAACAGAAACCAAAACAGAAACCAGAAACTAAAACAGAAACCAGTGTTCCCAAAACTTCTACATCTGTTCTCAGGATGGCAGGCCTTCCCAGAGACGGTGTTCTGCTTGTTATGGGAAGACAATATGAGAACTTTATTGTTTATAGAATGATGCCTGAGAGAGTCTAATTGTTTATACAAATCAGAAGGCTGAGAACTGTTAGAAACTGCTTTTACTTTTCCCCTATACTTTTCTCTCAATTGTATGTCTCATGGCCTTTTCTTTAAGTCATTCTTGAAAAACTCTCCAACATTTCCCCTGTTTTTTTCTTTGAGAGAAAAGAGGTTAGTTTGCCAGGTCTTCTCTATCATTCTACCAACCATCTTTTGGATACAACAAGGTAAGATAATGGTGAAGTTTTTCCTCATAGAAACTCTTGTGGAGGAGACATTACCAGATGTCAAGAGAAGTGCAGACCCCGCTCTGCCAGGGCTCAGCTGCACCAAAGGCCTGAGGATAAACAGGACACTCAGTGTCAGAAATGTGATCCTGCGGAGAAGGATCAGAACCAGTGCTCAGAGGTGGAATAATGATAACTTGCTTAAATAACAAGGTCCACCCTGCGCCTGGGCTGGTATTCCATTCCAGGCTCTATCTTCACAAATTAAAAATATCCCTGTGGGTAATTTCCTAGGTCATAATAGTAGAGCCTTTACACTGGTTATAAAGTTGTTTAGACACTATTTCCAGGTTTAGAGATGAATCCAGAGTAGCCCATGTCTGTTTATGCTGACTCATCCTTTGGAAATTAGAGTAATCAAAGCTGAACTGCAATTATTTAATGCTTGATTGGGATCTCTTCTTATAGGGCCTACAACAGAATGTTGTGTTAAAGGCACCAGTATTCTACATCTTATTGAGGCTATATATGATGTACTTTGAGCTTTAACCCCTTTTCAAAATACACTGTACCTCCCACTGATAATAAGCTAAGATTTTTGCTCATGAAATTTATAAAGGTCTGAAGCTGAAGCAGTGTTTAGCTCTGTCTCATTCCGTAGTGCCTGCTCCCAATTATGTTCCCAGATGTGCCTATAATTACAGGTGTGGCACCATAAATGAAAAAGTAACAACTGATCACAACCCCCACAACACAGTGCAACCCAAGCAGCACAATTTGGGCTGTGACAGTCAAGACAGTCCTCTTTTGCCAGTCCTCGTATATGTAAAGATGATAATGATTCAATAATGTCAATCAGTTCTCTGGTCGTCCGGCAACGGCATGTTAAGGCCTTATCAGGCATTGCAGGACAGGTGGTAATTGGACTAAGAAAAGAAAGCTGTTAGCTGTTTTCATTCATGCAACCTGGAGAGAAGGTGAAAAAGTCTGAAAATGATTCTTTCTGTCCTTGAAGTTATCACATCCATCTTTTTTCATGAGCTTCCCAGAAATGTTCAAAGTCAGTTTTCAGTTTGTAATCCTTTAGTCATTTGGCTCAAATGGCATCAACTGGGAGATTCTCAGTCCTTTGTTAATTTGGAGTAGTGAAAAGATAGTATGCATTTAAGGCACTTAAAATATTTAACTTAACAGACTTATTTGCAAATCATGTAAAGTCACTTAAATCTAATTCAAACTTAACAGAATCTAACTTAACTTACTTAATAATACTTAACAAAATTTAATTTTCTTTAAATCTCACACAACTCAAACATATATAATTTAAACTTAGCAGACCTCGAACTCAACCGAAAACAAGCTCAACAATTTTAACCTTAACATTTAATGGCACTTAATTGATAACTTAAACTACTTAATAGCAAATAAAACTTACTATAGGAATAATATATAGCATTTACTATAACTTACTTACAGGCCTGATTCTAAAATATTAAGCTAAAATAACTTTCTTCACGTGTTTGCTATAGCATTTTTATACTTAAATACACTTAAACACAATTCATTTAAGGTGCACCTGTGAAAAAATTCTTTTGAATTCAGTGTTTGCTTTTACATCTATCATATCTAAACAAAGCTTAAAGAATACAAAAAACACACTCATTACATCTCACTCATACAATCATTCCAACACATCTCAACATTTTTAAATTTTTCAAAACACAGCTTTAAAGTCTAATGTTCCACCGGCCCAGCCATCCGGGCTTCTGATGTTCAAAGTCTCTGGCAATACAGGTGTTTCCAAGACAGCATAACCAATGCCGAGTCAAACCGGCCGAAATCTGACTCTTGCATCCATTTACGCTGATTTCTGTTTTACAGTCTGTGCTGGGGAGAACAAAAGATCTCTCTAACTTAGGTGAAAAACATCCTGACAGCAACAGTCCTTGGTGTCGCCTGTTTAGTTTCACTAATCTTTTAATTGCAATAGGAATCTTTTCTTTTGTTGACAAGAGTCACGATTATTACGGCTGTTAGATCTTAAACTGTAGCTCCTGCCGGCTACGGGGCGGAGGGAGAAACGCTCCCGCTCGAAAAAGCACTCTGAAGTCGGAATCCGCTAAGGAGTGTGCAGGACGAAAACTATCAATGCACAGCATGATTGCTCCTCCATCACCTGCTCTCTGATGTCCAGTCACTGTTCCCAAGCAGCAACTGGCCTCCCGTGGACATCTGGCCCCCAGTTCACACATGAGGGCGATGCGGCTCCGGTCGCTCCCCCCGCGGCGCTCTTTGTTCACTTCCGGCGCGGCTCTCGGGGTGGGGCGGCTTGGTTTCTGCGGCGGCGGCTCTGCTCTCGGGGTCGGCGCGGCTCGGCTCCTGCTGCAGCGGCTTTTGATCTTCCCGCCGCTGCCTCCGGCGCGCCCGCGCCAAGCTCGGAGCAGCACAGCACTGCAATTCTACCATAAATCACCGAATTCACACATTACCGTTAATCCGTAAACCATATGGAAAATTCCTTTACCGTAACTATAAGTCCAAAGTCCTGTTGAATCCTTTTGCCAATTCATCTCTGCTTTGCGCTGCGGGTCACTCCCTTCGCGGCGGGAGTTCACCTTCGCCCGCGGTGGCTCCCTTTGGTGTCGGGTTAGGGGCAGGAAAAGGTACCGATGATGCAGCGATGACTTCTGTAGGTGCTTGGCATTTCCGGCGCAAGCGGCCCTTGCCTTCGCATGGACAGCATTTCGTGCGGCCCTCTTTATTTGCTGTTGCAAACGCAGCGGACGTTTGAAGAGGTGCAAAAGCGGCTAACACCTGACTCTGAGAGGACCTTGCCTGTTCTTGCAAACCTATTCCTATCTGTTTAAATGCATCTACCACAAAAGCTTCAAATGTCTCATCTTTGCCTTGCTTAATTCCCATATACACTGGTATCCCTCCTGGTTCCTTTACCTTATCTATCGCGAGTCTGACTAACCGCATTGCCTTCCGGCACTTTTCTTGACCTATTAAAGCTTGTGCATCAGTACGAAGAAAAGGCCCCAGCCCCATAAGCTCATTAATAGTGATACCATGCAAGGGATCCCCCGGCTGTCTTTGAACTGCCACACATTCATTAGCTAAAGCTTGCCAGTGGGCGTTAAACAGCAATTGTTGATGGTAGGTAAAAATTAATTTCACTATGCCAAGACAATCATTAACGAGGAGGATACTGGTGTTAAAAATATAATCGATCATTTGCTTAGCTGGTTCACTCTTAAAGCCAAACTGACTAACAGTAGCTCGCAACTGAGATAACAGCTTCCAGTCAAGAGCGCTAATTGTGGCTTGAAAACCTCCTCCAGGCTGGGGGTTAAAGACAACCGGACAAGCCAGTTCTCGAGCCGAACTTATCAGCTCTTGATCTCCCTTGTCAATTGCATCTTTGGCCAGGGCAGCCCACGAGTCCCGTCTTTCCCTTGCAATCGCCGCCGCCAAGCCGATTTCCGACCCAGGGACCGGCTGATTGCTTGTCGGGAACGGAGTGCATGTATCTGGCCCCAGCTGCTGAGACGCAGCAGGTACGGGAGACTCAGAGGTGCTCTGTGTAGCCTGCGGCAAAGCAGACAACAAGGCACCCCGCGGAGCTTGGCTCGTTACGGGGGGCTGCGAAGCGGGTACTAAAGCAGTCTGCGTAGCCTGGCTTGTAGGCTGGCTCGTAGCCGGGCTTGTAGCCTGGCCCGTTAAGGGGGGCTGCTCGGCGGGAGCGAGGCGGACTGCGCCTGGCTCATAGTGTGACTCATAGCCTGGCTTTCCGAGGGAGGTGGTGAAGCAGGTAATAAAACTGTCCGCGTCGCGGGGCCAAGAGGAATTCCCGCGTTCTTATCAAATTCCCTATCTTGATCGCATTCTTTGTTACGATCGTAAGCGGCAGTAGCCTGGTGAGCAGCCCTTTTTTCAGCTTGAATTTGCAAAAGCTCGGTGTTAACGACCCGCCATAATTTACCCCACTTCTTAGCAGTTTTATCATCATCTAACGTAGCCTGCCACAATAAATCACCAAATCTACGCCACTCCAACAATTCGTGAACTGTGTGAGGATTTATAAAGATCCCCCTTTCTAGGCCATAAATTAAAAGACCGGGTAAATCTTTCTGTAAATCTATTCCCTTAATTTGCCGTTTTTGCAAAAGGGTAATAAAAAGTTCATATGCGGCTTGCCTTTCCATACCTATGTGCGCACGTTGCAGCTCTTCAAATCAAGGTCGCGGCCGCATGTCTCGGACGAGCCTATCTGTATAGTCGCTCGCAGCGCGGCGCGGGCCGGCGGGTTACCCTCCGCTTTGTCTACCGCGCTTCTTCGCCGTTCCGGCTGCAGTTTCGATCTTACGGAACCCGAACCTGTCTTCACTTCGCGTGGCGTTCGCTTCCCCGTGGTGTTCGCTATCACGGTCGGAGGTCACCATATATTGAAGTGAAGGGGAGAACGACCATCCTGGTAATGCATCGAACTCCAACTTTATTGATCAATCAATCACCTTAAATAACAGTGCTAACGAACGCCATGAATATTCTGTAATCCAATGTCATGATAGGCTAACAGAGAAACTTCTAACCACTCCCCTTGTTTTAGAATACCTACAATTGTTTATTAAAAACAGAAACCAAAACAGAAACCAGAAACTAAAACAGAAACCAGTGTTCCCAAAACTTCTACATCTGTTCTCAGGATGGCAGGCCTTCCCAGAGACGGTGTTCTGCTTATTATGGGAAGACAATCTGAGAACTCCATTGTTTATAGAATGATGCCTGAGAGAGTCTAATTGTTTATACAAATCAGAAGGCTGAGAACTGTTAGAAACTGCTTTTACTTTTCCCCTATACTTTTCTCTCAATTGTATGTCTCATGGCCTTTTCTTTAAGTCATTCTTGAAAAACTCTCCAACATTCCCTACTCAGAAGCTCCCCAGGATCATCAAGGCATGAACTGGGAGGTTGTGAAATTGAGGGATAAAAGGAAGGAAATGGAAATGAAGAACAGGAAATGCCCCTGGAGGCTGTGGTGGCCCAGACCAAGAGCTCCTCTGAATCCCCTCTTGTTGCCCCCCCAAATCACGGACAACCCAGCAGGCAGTGCTAGCCCCTGGGTCACCCCAAAAACTAAAGGCACCCAGGGATGGAGCTGTGACCCACATGCACATCCCGTCACTGTCCATCCCTGGCAAAATCATTCCCCTGGGAAGCTGACCATGGGACCCCCATTCCTTCTGTCTCCCCTTTCCTGAGACCCCCATCCCAGGGCTGCCATTGCCCAGGAACTCCATGGCCCAGGACCCCATTCCCAAGGAACCCTCTCCCATTCATTCCATGCCCTGAAATCCCATTTCCCCGGGACCTTAATTCTCCCAACTCCCCCCATTCCCCCTGCACCCATCTCTGGCACAAAAATCCCTTGATGAGGGATTTTTTACAATTAAAATATTTTTTTATATAACCTTTTAAAGTTTTAAATGTACTTTACCTTTCTCCTAGTCTCATCTCAAAACAAAAAAGAAATAAATACATTCTGATAAATCCACTAATAATTAACCAACACTAAACCCACCACACTAATTATTACATTAACTGAAATATCTCAAATTAGCAAACCAAAACCATGACACCAAATCCCTGGAGCTCACCCTCCCCTGGGACTCCCATCCCTGAGTCCCCCCAGCCCTGTGGGCCCCCATTCCCATGGCACCCCAATCCCCTGTGACTCCCCCTCCTCACGACCCCAATTCCCCATGGACCCATTCCCTTGACCCCCATTCCCTGGACTCCCCATTTCTCTGGACACCCATCCCTGGCTCCCCAAACCCCCTGAGTCCCCCTGCTCCTGGGAAGTCCATGTCCCATCTATCCAGAGACAGCCTTGTCCCCAGCATGTCCCCACCCTGCCCACAGCCTGTGCCCAGCTTGTGGCCACCCTGCCCCCACTAGGTGCCACCTACACATGGGGATGAGATGTGACCTCGCTTCCTTCCCCTTCATCCGAAGAGCCGCCAGCCAGGTCAGCGGTGGCCACAGCAGCGAGTGATAACCAGTGCACATGGCTGGGGACACCGGGATGGCCGGGAAGGTGGCCCTGCTCTATGGGGTGAGTGCCCCGGGCACGGGCCGGACTGGTAGTACCCCGAGGATGGGCACTGGTGAGTCAGAGAGTGGTGAGGAGGGGGCACAGGGGAGCTGCAGGTTTCCCTGAGGTTCCCAATGCCAGAAGAGCCAGAGCATGAAGTGACCATGGGGTGGCCGTGGGGATAGGAGAGGGTGAACAGGGCTGGAGGGATAGAAATGTTGGGAGAGGCATCCTAGGGCTGGGGCAGCTGTGGGGACAGGGACACAGGGATGCAGGGATGCAGGGACAGGGAGAAAAAGACAAGCACAATGTGGATGGGCCATGGAGACAGAGGCCATGAGGCTGGCAGAGGAGACCTGTGCTAGTACAGTGTCCCCATCAAGACATCTGTGCCACACCAATTTCCTCAGGGGGACAGTTCAAGGGCAGCCCCTATGAACCATTCCCCTGTGCACAACTGTCCCCATGGTGCCACCCTCACTGAGCCCTGCCCCTTCTTTCTTCCAGTCCAGACCCTTGGCCTCACTGGTGAGTCCTCAGGGGATGCCATGGCCCCACCCTGCTGTCCCCAGCCCCATGCTGGCCCTGGCAGACTGGTGTCCCCGGTCACCTACAGGTGCCCAGACCACCCAGCTCCTGGTGGAGCCCCCCTGGAGGCCGGCGGTGCTGTGGGACCAGGTGACACTGACTTGCCAGGGCTTGGGGAACACTGGTGTCACCACCTGGTACAAGTATCAGCAGCGCTGGAGGCAGGAGAGACACAATCGCCTCACTGTCACTGAGAAAGGCAACTACACGTATGAGAGACCCGGCACTGGGCTCAGCCCTCCTGTGAGAGTCCTAGATGGAGAGGGGGGTTTGGGTTTCCCCATCCTGGCACCAACATTGACCCCGGGGTTCTGGGTGGGCTCCACTCCATTGGTCAACTCCTGTGTGACCAGAGCCTGCCCCCTGCTCTGGGGTCATCCCAGACCATCCCAGTGCTGGCAGACCCTGTTTGTGGATTTGGGGATCCCTGGTGTGCTGTGTGAGCCAATATGCAGTCGTGGTGGCATTGGGACCCTCCAGGTCCCCACAGTGTAACAGGACCCCCATGTCCCACAGCCTCATTGGTGCTGCAGGTGCCGGCGTGGGCACTGCTGGAGGGGGACACGGTTACACTCCGCTGCCGGCGCTGGCGAGACCACCCGGTCAACTCAGTGTCCTTCTACCACGAGGAGAAGAAACTGCAGGAGCTCCATGATGGGACCGAGCTGTGCCTGTCCCCTCTGCACCTGCAACACAGCGACCACGACAGCTGCAGGGGCTGGGTGAAATCTATGGTGTCACGGGGATGGGAGAAGTTGGAATCAGTGAAAGTGACAGTGCATGGTGAGCACTCCACAGCTGTCACTCCAACCCCCCCACAGCCCCTCCCTAGTGACTGGAGCTCACAAATCTCCCTCCCCTTTCCTTTACAGAGCTTTTCACGGTGCCGATGCTGGAAGTTCACTCTGAGCCCACCAATGGTTCCCCCCTAACTCTCAGCTGTCTCAGCACCTCCAGCCCCTGCGGCCCCAAGCCCCCCTCCTGCACGTGTTCTACTGGGACGGGCGGGTGCTGGGAGACCCACAGGAGTCTCTGCAGCTGCTAGTGCCGCCGTGGGAGTCTCCCACTCAGGGAATTACAGCTGCGAGCTGCTCTCCGAGGGGGGGGGCCGTGCAGAAGAGCAGTGCCTGGCTCTGTGTCACAGTGCGCAGTGAGTGCGGGGATGGGCACGGGGAGCCTCCACGCCCTGCTTGGGTCCCCTGCCTGGGTACCTCCATTACTGCCCCATTCCCCCCATCCCTCACTGGGTCCCTTCACCCATCTCTGAGTCAACCCCACCCCTCTCTGCTGTTTCCCCGCAGTCCCCAAGTCCCACCATACCCTCTCTGGGTCTCCATACCCGCACTGGGGTCCTCCCATCTCCCGTTGCATGTGTCCTGTCCCCTGGTGTCACCTCCTCCCGCAGGGGTTCTGCCCTCGGGGGTGTCTCTGTCAGTGCAGCCTTGTGCTGAGCTGCACAGTGGCCACAGGGAGAGGTCGTCTGTCCATTTCCTGGTGCCCGGGAGGGCTCAGGGGCACCGCTTGGCACTGGCCCCACCTGGAGCTGCACCAAACTGGGGACAATGGCAGCCACTGCCAGTGTGGGGACAGCATGGCTGAGAGTGTCCCCCTGAATGTCACTGTCATTTGTGAGCAGGACCCTCCGAAGGGGGGTGACCCCACCCATGGCACCCCCATCCACCTCACCAGGTTCCAGCCCTGTCTGTGTCCCTGCAGTGCCCATGGCCAATGCCACCATCACCCTCAGTCACCTGTCACACCTGGTGCGCTCAGGAGACAAGGTGACCCTGCGCTACTCGGTGCATGTGGGCTCATCCCCTGTCACCTTCACCTGGCTGCACAATGGGCAGGAGGTGGCCCAGGGTCCCCTCCTGGAGCTCAGGGCTGTCGATGTGGGACATTCGGGCCCCTACCAGTGCATGGTCACCAACCAGCTGGATGGGCACCAGGCACTCAGTTCAGAGCTGGCCCTGGAGGTGACAACACAGGAGCAGGGCACAGATAGGGTCACACAGGGTCACATGGGGGGTGCAGAACCCCCTGGGGTTCTGGGTTACCCCAATGTGTCCCTTTCTGCCCCCAGCAGTGGCCGCAGGAGTCTGTGGGTCCCTCCTGTTCCTGGTTCGGCTCCTGGCTGTCATCAGAGTCTGGCACTGGTGGCACCACCTGGGTGGGTGACAATGAAGGGGAATGGGATGAATCCCCCACAGAGTTTGAGGTCCAGAGGGTGGCACCAACAGCTCCTGACTTGGGTGAAGCTGAATCCCTAGTGATCTCACCTGGAGGTCTGGGGGATGTGGGGAGGTCCTGCAGGGTAGTGCAGGGACATTGGGGGTTCTGTCAGGGGTTTGGAGGAGTTTGGGGGCTCAGTGGATTCAGTGGGTGATTCAAGGCTCATTAGGATCTTCAGGGATGCATGAGGCTCCTGGGGGCAGTCAGAGGTCTCAAGGGTGTTTTGGTAGATAGGGACAGGCGATCGGAAGATCACGCGATGTGATGGAAAGCCAGGACTCCTTTTTCCCCTAATCCCTTAAGATAAGAGATCTCTCTAGGAATGTAACTAGGAATGTAGCCCCCCTAACAGTAGTGCCAGTAACTTTCCACTCCTGGTAACTTTCCACTCCTTACTAACCACAGGTGGTAAAGCAGACTCCCTGTGACGTAGACGGACCCCTTAGACTATAAAACCCCATGAGAAGAGATAATAAATGCCTTCAACCATCCACCACATTGGTGTCTGCATGCTTCTTTGTCCCGAGTGACCCTGGAGAGTTGGGTCGCCGTGCTGCTCCTCAGAACCAGGTCGCCTTGCCTTATATCAGAAGGCAACAACTGGTGCTGAAAACCCGGGAGCCGATCAGCGCCCGGGGAACGGGAATTCGCCTGGACAGAGGACGGCGGCAGCACAGCTGGCCTAGTACAGCTGGGGGGACGCCCCTGGACCCGCGTGGACCATGGAAGCCACAGCGAAGGTCGTAAGTCAGGCTCATGAGCGATGGGGAATTAAATGTGAGCTCAGGAATTTTAATCTTGCTATTGCAAGGCTCCTAGAGCTGGGGACAATCAAACGTCCAGTAAATATATTATATTCGGAAGTGTGGGAGAAGTGCACTGCCGCCTTAGCAGAGGACACTAAGTCCTCAGGCAGTGGTAAAACCCTCAAAGCGTGGGGGAAAGTAGAAGAGGCCCTACGCAAGGTGTTAGAAGAACAGAAGACGTGGAAAGCCGCGTGTAAATGTTTATTAGCTACACCAAAGCTGGGAGTGGAGGCAGCGATGCAAACCGCCTCTGAGAGCGATCTGATTGAAGGCGGGAATACGCGGGGGCTGGGCGCGTTCCACCTCTCCCCGAGCCCAAGTCCAAACCCCCTGGAGCCCCCAGGAGATCCCCCGGAGCCCCCAGGGGACCCCCCGACCCTCTCGTGGAGCCCGCCAGGTCCTGGCCCCCCCGCGGAACCTTCCGAGAAATCCGCAGTCTCTCTACCCAACCCTTCCCCGCCGGTCGCCGATCCGGCGCAGGAGGCAAAGCAGCGCGTGCGGTCCTTTTGGGGGGCACTCGTGGAGGAAGCCCAAGATGCCGAGAAAACGGCTAGCACGGACACGCGGCAAAACATGGCGCCGGCGACCCAGGGGATGGGCGGGGCGTGCTAGTCCGCGGCGGGATAACCCCGGAGGCACGAGTAGTCGCAGATGCGCATGCACGGGAGATCAGCACAGAGGGCATGCTCGGTCTAGAGCCGCGGATCTTTGCAAGCTCGCATGCGCGGGGGAGCGACAAAGAGCACATATTCACTCAAGAGTTGTGCCCAATGCTGCTACCATATAAGGGAGAGATCCCTCCCTCCGGGAGGCAGGGCAAGCCCAGGGGGCGGGAGCGGCACCACCCCCGAAGGGAGGAGCGGGGTCGAAGCCGCACAAAACGGCACGGAGCACCGGAAATGTACTGGCAGTCAACTTCCGTCTCAGAGTCAAGTAACAGCTGCTCAGACAGCTCGGAAGAGCCGAGTGAGCCCGGCTGGGACTCGGAAACCGAGAGAGCAGAATTAATGCGGTTTCAAGCGAAACCGAGTAAAGCTTTAAGCAATATCGGGAAACAATCACAACACAATCTCACCGATTGGGGAAAAATAAAAATAGCTTTAGCGGACCAGGCACCGGTAGCCACAATACATGCTTTCCTGGCGAGGGTCACCGGAGCGCAGGGAAACCAACAAAGGGCATATACCCCAGTTAACCCAAAGGAAGTGCAAGCGATTGTCAAAGCAATTTCAGAAAAAGGGATCAACTCAACTGTAGTATCCACTCTTGTGGACGGCCTTTTTAGCAATGATGATCTGCTCCCTTTTGATATTATGCAAATAAGCCGCATGCTTTTTGATAAGGCGGGGCTGATTGTATTTAAGCAGGAGTGGCAGGATGACTGCGTTTGCCCAGGCTTCTGGGGAAGGGCAGCAACTCAGCAAGCTGTCCCCAGCCGGCACAGCTTTCCCTGGCAGCACCCCCACTCCAAGCATGCCCGAGAGGGATCTGTTGGAGCTGCGGGAAGACACCTAGCAAGGGACTGTAGATCCCGGCCCCAGGGAAATGGGAGAGGGAGGGGGCAGCAGGGCCGTATCCAGCCTCCTCCCACCTGGAATATGCAGCGGCCGAGCTACAGCAACCCCCAGTGGGGCAGGGGACCCACATACCCTGTGCCCCCACAGGGAGCAGTCAATTTTGCATCCCCGCCAGCAATACAATGGCAGAGTTATGCAGCATCCTCAGTACCCTCGCACCCCCCACCGTCACAAGCCGCACCGGTGGCATAGGACCAGCAGGGGACGCCCCAGAGCGGGACCCCTGGGTGACCCTGGCCATGAAAATAGGGAAGGAGCCCCTGATGGTATGGAAGACATGCTGCCTTTTCGGCAGTCAGGATCCCCACGTCATAGGGTTTCAGTTTTGGGTGGACACGGGATCAGACTGCACGATTTTTCCCCAAGCACATTGGCCCGGACATTAGCAATTCAAAGAAGTCCCTCCAGTGAACGGAGTGGGAGGGCAGTCCCAGGCATGGAAAAGCACCTAGCTGGTGGCTATAACACTTCACATGAAAAAGGGACCAGACGTGCAACACCTGGTGGGATCGCTACAGTAGCTTCGCAACATCGTCCTCATTCCTCCCAAGGTCATCGACCCCCTATATGACCTCCTGAAAGGAAAGCACCCCTGGGAACCCAAGGAGCTGACACCGCAAGAAACGAGCTCCCTTGACTTCATCGAAAGCCAGATGTCCACTGGCACACTGGCCAGGTGGAACCCAGCCGTGCCGCTGGACCTATACGTCCACTTTACACCAAAGGGGGGAATGAGAGCACTGGCCCAAGGACCTTCCGAAAAATCCCGACCAATCCAATGGGTGGTCCTCGGAAGACCTGCTCGTGCATTTTGCCCAGGAATAGAATGCATTGCTAACCTCATGATGAAAGGCAGGAAACTCGCCTTGAAACACCTAGGGAACGAGCCGACAAGAATCCACCTTCCTTTCTGTAAGCAACCAACCACGGAGTCAGCCACAATATCGGAGCACCTAGCCCTTGCTCTCACCGGATTCAGAGGAGAAATCGCCTACTCCTCCAGACCACCCTGGACTCAGCTGCTGACCGTACTCGACATGGACATGCCGCCAAAGGTCAAGGACCAACCGCAGCCAGGACCAAGAGTCTTCACAGACGCTTCCTCCACGACTTCAACCGCAATAGCAGTGTGGCAGGCAGGAGAACAATGGCATTGCGTTAAAGCACG